TATATAAAACGTATCCACCATGACGTAACCACCATGTGCTACTTGAGCTTTCCTCCTGTTCTTTGAAACAAAACCACTATAGTGGCTTCGGATTCTTTTAGAACAACACGTTAGTGATTCTTTCCTATGCTTCGATACTTTGTTACTGTCAAACGGAAATATTCTCAATTGTTTCGACGTCCATTCGTCACACGGAGAGAATTTTCTCTTAAAATTTGTCCCGAAAGCCATGTAATCGTGGGACAACATTGCAGTTTTGAAGAACTTTATGGGAGTTTTTTGAAATTTTACCACACGATTTACTAGTAATTATACTGAGTATACATTTTACTAGTAAAATGTGCTACAATTTACTAGTAAAATGTATAATGAAATTTTACAAAACTCCCATAAAGTTCCTCAAAATGTCATGTTGTCCCACGATTATATAATTTTCAGGGTTAAAAGAAAATTCTCTCCGTGCAGTTTTCGTAGTCAAAGGATTAGTCATACAGTCCGTTTACCGTCGATTTGTTCCTAGCTTATTATTTAGTAAACTAATTCAGTTTAATAAGCTAATTCCAGTACAAACTATTTAGTTCATTAATTTTTCTTAGTTAGCCAAACTTTTATTCTAAATTTTCATTTTTTACTGTCAAGTCAAGGAGCGCATCGATCTCGAAGCGTGTCAACTTGATTCTCGATCAAAAAAATTCCTTTTATGCGGCAACGAATTACCCAACGGGCTCGAGATAAAACTCGCGTATCTTACGGATGTCCAAGGATACCTGCGTCGCGCATCCCCGCTGCGCCGCGACTTCGTCTCGTCGGGTGACGAGGGGATCGTATCTGGCGGGGGATGCCGATATATCATACTTGTAAATACAATAATTACATGTCTCGCATTGTAGCGACCCGCGAACCGGCCGGTGCAAGGCGGTCGGGCGTATAGAAATTAAGCATTTCGAAATCGTCGTGGTAAAGAGTTAAATCTTGCGGTCGCGAGGCGACCGCCGCGGCCTGCGTTCTCCATCTCCTCCCATAAAGCTCTATATACTACTAGACCGTTATTCTGGCAAAACTATGTTTATTAAAAGTTTATAAGAAGTTTGTTTAAATGTTGAGTCAATGTTTTGTTTGAGTTTTAAAACATTTATGCAATTGTTTGTAAGATATAAATTTAAACACGGAAGTTGTTCATGACATGTTCGTGGTTACACGTGTTCAAATTCCGTTTAATGAATACAATGTCAAACGTTTCCATTATAGTTTTCTAAATGCTTGTAAAATGTTATTGTCAGTAGAGAATTAACCAGGTGTTTGCAACGAACTTCCAAACGGTGTAGCCATCAATAAAACTCTTCATAAATAGATATAAATGTCGTCTCTCACTTAAAATCTCTCACTTAAAAAAAAACCAGGGTACCTTTGAGCTGAAAAGTGAGGCAAGAGTTCCGCCTTGTCTTGATAAATAGAGTAGTATATGTGCCGACACACCGATGCACACGTACTACCTTGGGAGCTTTCCAGCAAGCGACACAAGTCGACACAAGTGTCGTTCTGTCTTTATTATTCATTGAATGCGAAGAAAGACAGAACGACATTTGTGTCGACTTGTGTCGCTTGCTGGGAAGCTCCCCTTATTTACCTAACAAGACAGGGCGGAACTCCTGCCTCGCTGTTCAGCTCGAAAGTAGCAGTCTAGTATATACAAGTCTGGGTCTCCTCCGCTCCTACCTCTCTTCATCGCACGCAGGGGCGCGTCGTCGCGCGAGCGGCGCATACATATTTATATAGTTTATTTAGCGATCGTTGTTTAGATACAAAGATGTATACGTATCTATAAACTCACGTGTGTATGTATATACATATATTAAAAAGTATAAATATATATATATATTTTATACACATCGCATCCGAGTTGCCATCGCAGCCATAGGTAGCAGCTCGGGCCTTGTTAATTCGATCAAACGATTTAAATGACTTCACCCCCGAGGCGAGGGGACTAGCAAAAGCTTTGCGAGAAGAGCTGAAGAACGAGATCGTCGGCCGAAACCCTCTTTTTCCGCTCTCTCCCGCCCCTTACTCAAGTCGGTGGCGATCATGCCCGCCCAAGAGCCATATTGGCCGGGCATCCGTCGAGGCTTATAACCGGCACGCAAGGCAAGTTTTGCACCGCTTTGGATTGCGCCGCACCGGTGTCCCCTAACGTTACGCTTACTCTAATTAGCGCACCGGTGTTGATTATCGACCACCGACACTATATATTACATCGACACTGTATTAACCGTTGTATTAACATTGTTGCAATTGTTTTATTGTTATTTGTAAGTGATAAGTACGAGATATCTTTTTTCCTTACATTTGTTATACCCGGATTGTGTGGGCGAGAAGGGCATCGATGTATCTTACAATGTGGTGAAACTGCTAAAAATCAGCGGCTCTATCTCTTTCTAAGGAGACAGTTAGAAAGAGACAAAGCTACTTACTTTTAGCATTTTCACTATAGTGTAAGATACAGAATTGACCCCGAGGTCATTATTGGTCGATACCATTAACGTGCAGTGCCGAGATAATAGTGACTTCGCTCGTCCGCAAAGACGACAGCAGGGAAAAAAATGTAGCTACCGTAGCAAGAAACTGCATGTGGTTACCCGGGGAAGGTGACCAAATTCGGATCAGATACCAAGTGCGGATCGACAATTGGATGAGTCGCTAAGAAGCGGCACTTTAAAGTAATTCATTTAAGCTTTGCTCTTTTATATATTTACAACTTTATGCTACATTGTCGATATCATAAAAGGCATCGACGTGTTTTTATGTCACTTATTAGCAACTCATCGAATTGTCGATCCGCATTTGGTCGCCCTAAATTTCAGTCGGAAATTATGGACAGCAAATATTTAGTTGTGACGGCTAGATATTCTGCTACTGTGCTTATTGTATCAGGTGCGACAGCAAACCGTTTACTGTGGTTCAGAAATTTATAGTATTGACAGTGAAATATTTTTGGCAAACCAAGATCAGCTACGGTGGCAAAAATTTTTCTCAGTGAGCCACGGCTGAGCGTGTGAGTCTCTGGGGCATTATACAATAAAATGAGAAATGTATTAGAGTTACTGTTAGCCCATTGTGTTTGTAGACCTACGTTTATTACGAAGGGACGAGAGGATTTTTGCCTTTAATGGCGAGACGGTGTGTGGAGAGAGAAGTGGTCGGGTCTGACGGAGGAAGTCGCCGGCGCGCAAACGTCCCGGCGAGATCTCATCTGTGTTGTGTCTTCTTTGCAGACTACTTCTACTCGACTGTAGGTCGCCGAAAAAAATTCACGCAGTTTGTT